TGGTGCTTCTTCACTGCCGCCAGCTAGGACAAGTTTTAAACTGAACACTGAATCTTCCTTTTGTGTTTCATTTGTGTCGATCTCCTGGCAGCAGGTAATGCAATAGCGATTAGTAAATCAGAAACCCAGGCTAATTCTCTGGGGCATAAATTCAAATGATGTGACAGACAGTAGAATTTAGATGCAATAAACAAATCTGGAATTCGAACCTAGTCTCAGCATTACTAATTAAGTCAACAATTATCCAGTCGGTTCTCTAATGTCCCTTGGGGAATAAACCAGTCATATTTGCCTTGTATGACCTGCATGTGACTCAAGATCGAAACATAGTTGATGATATTTAAATATCATCTGAAATGACCTGGAAAGCCATCTATTTCAGGTGCAATTTAGAACAGGCAGCGAATTCCGGAACTAAAATTTATACCAAAGTCCTACAAAAGAATAATTGAACTGAATGAGTTTGAGATAACTGGAAATGAAATACTTTGAAGAATTAGGAATTAACCTAAAAAAAAAATCCAGAGTAAAAAGCGAGGAGTCACCGTGGGACACAGTCGAGATGTTAAATTTGTGGCTAACCTTTTCATGTCGGAGGAACGCATTTCTGAAGAAGGGTCCCGACCCAAAACGTCAGCTTTCCTGCTCCTCTGATGCTGCCTGGCCTGCTGTGTTCATCCAGCTCTACACTGTGGCATTTCAGTTCATGTTTTTGCTGGGTACGATGGTCTGGCAAATTGAATAACTAGGGCTGTAGACAGGGATTTAAACAAACTAGAAGGGGTGAGGGTTTGGGTGATGGAAAACAGCAATTTACGAAGTCAATGCGTATAGTATCATTGAAGAATGGCTACTTTAGGTAACGATATCAAGAGTGGGATGGGAAGGAAAAGCAAATAAGGTGTAAAACAGAAAACAATAAAGAGAAAAGTGAAAGTTATGGCTCTGTACTTAAATGCATGTAGCATTCAGAGAGAAGTATAAGGTCAAAAAATAGTTAATGGATTTTGTTTCGCTCATTCACAGGATGAGGGCATCGCTGGCTCGGCAGCATATATTGCCCATCCCTAATTGCCCAGAAAGAGTCAACCACATTGCTGTGGGTCTGGAGTTACATGTAGGCCCAGACCAGGTAAGGATGGCAGTTTCCTTCCCTCCTTCCCTAAAGGGCATTAGTGAACCAGATGGGGTTTTTCCTAACAATGGATTTGTGGTCATTGCTAGACTTTTAATTCTAGCTTTTTTTTAGTAGACTCAATTCCACCATCTGCTATGGTGGGTTTTGGACTGAGGTCACCTGAATATTTCAGGTGTTTAACAGTCCCAGCGATAATATCGCCAGGCCATCACAAACGTTAGGGAGGCATGGCTGGAAGGAGATCACAGCTGGCAACTAAGTATTCAGAGGTGTGTGTGTGAAGTTTTGAAATGGCACGCAAGAAGTGAAGGGTAGTGAGGCAGCTTTCTTAGTGCGAGATGCAATAAGTAAGATAGAAGAAAGGTTCTTAGATCAGAAGATGTTGAATCTACATCCTTGGAGCTAAGAAATAACAAAGGTGATATGTCTGGTGGGACCAATCTATTAGGACCCCCCTGGCAATAACTTTTCTTCAGAACAGAGAATAATGTAAGATATAAACAGGGGCATGTAGCAAAAGACAACACATTAATCACATACAACTTTAATCTTCATGTAAAATGGGAATATCAAATTGGCAGAGGTAGCAAAGAGTTCAAATTCATAGAGTATTCTGGATAATTTCCAAGAATAATCTGTTGTGGGTCAACATTATGAAACGTAGGATCTAGTAATCTGTAATGAGGCTCTAGTAATCTGTAATCATGTTACAGTTGTATAGGGCTTTGTATCGACCACATTTGGAATACTGCGTACAGTTCTGGTCGACACATTTTACCAAAAGGATGTGGATGCTTTGGAGAGGGTGCAGAGGAGGTTCACCAGGACGTTGCCTGGTATGGAGGGCGCTAGCTATGAAGAGAGGTTGATTAGGATTATTTACATTAGAAAGACGGAGGTTGAGGGGGGACCTGATTGAGGTCTACAAAATCATGAGAGGTATAGACAGGGTGGATAGCAAGAAGCTTTTTCCCAGAGTGGGGGACTCAATTACTAGGGGTCACGATTTCAAGGTGAGAGGGGAAAAGTTTAAGGGCGATATGCGTGGAAAGTTCTTTACACAGAGGGTGGTGGGTGCCTGGAACGCGTTGCCAACGGAGGTGGTAGAGGCGGGCACGATAGCGTCATTTAAGATGTATCTGGACAGATACATGAATGGGCAGGGAGCAGAGGGATACAGATCCTTGGAAAATAGGTGACAGATTTAGATAGAGGATCTGGATTGGTGCAGGCTTGGAGGGCCGAAGGGCCTGTTCCCGTGCTGTAATTTTCTTTGTTCTTTGAGGCAGGCTTCATAAATGCTTCGAGAATCAAAGATCCCCAGGGGCACAGTGACTATAATTTGGTAGAGTTTAGATTTCTGTTTGAGAGGAAGAAGCTTGGATCTGAAACAAGTGTAGAATCGTAGAGTCATAGAGATGTACAGCGCAGAAACTGACCCTTCGATCCATCTCGTCCCTGTTGACCAGGTATCCTAAATAAACGCAGTCCCATAGGCCGATATTCCTCTAAACCCTTCCTATTCATGTCCCCATCCAGATGCCTTTTAAATGTTGTAATTGTACCAGTCTCCAGCCCTTCCTCTGGCAGCTCATTCCATACACGCACCACCCTCTGTGTGAAAAAGTTGCCCTTCAAGTCCCTTTTAAATCTTTCCTCTCTCACCTTTACCTTATGCCTCTCTAGTTTTGGACTCCCCATACCTTGGGGTAAAGACTTCGTCTATTCACCCTATCCATGCCCCTCATGGTTTTATAAACCTCTATAAGGTCACCCCTCAGCCTCGGACGCTCCAGGAAAAATAGCCCCAGCATATTCACCGTCTCCCTACAGCTCAAACCCTCCAGCCCTGGCAACACCCTTGTAGATCTTTTCTGAACCCTTTTCAGTTTCACAATCTCATTATGCAAGAATCAACTGATTCATAGGGATGTTGCATTCTCTAGAAGAAATGGATGGTTTTTTAGGGATCAAACCGAAATCCTTCCAGAGATTCATGCATCCCAATATATTCAAATACCTTGTACAAGTCTGTCTCACCCATCCACACCCACCCCCAACAGGCATCTGAAGACCCACCAGTGAATTCCCACACTTTGACCTGTTAGCATTCTAAGAATGACCAACCTCATGCCACACCAATTTTATTTCTTTTTGAAGTCATACAGTCGTACAGGGCTGCAGCACAGAGAAAAAATATGACCCTTGTTGTCGGTAAAATATTACCAAGTACGATTCTACAGTGAGTCAGGCACAGTTTATTAACAAAAGCTTCTGGGAGAAGCAGGGACCTCAAAGGAGCCTCACCAAACTTCTCAGCTATTACAGACGATTTCAAAGGTTATATACATTTGCTGTCATGTGCCAACCCCCATCCTCCCAAGTCATGTACACAGTTCTTTAATCTGTTCCCGGCGTCTTGCAAAGTAGGTGACGGTTAGCGCTTCTATTGCTATCGGGACAGGATTTGTTGTTTCAGCGGATGTTTCATATTGATTGTGTAAAGTTCGATCTAAAGGTCTGTTGTGTTGTTGATCTCTTTACTTCCTCCTTCAGTAAGTTAATGTCTTTACTTCTTTCTTCGGTAAATCACTTTACTTATTCCTTCAGTAAGTTAATCACTTTACTTACTCCTTCACCCTTCAGCCCATCGAGTGTGCACCAGTCAAAAGCAAGTAGCTAACTATTCCAATCTCATTTTCCAGCCTATAGCCTTGTTTGCCTTGACATCACAAGTGCACATCTAAATACTCGCAAATGGTCGATTGTGTACAAATCACAAATGCTTTATCAATGACTCACTTTAACCATAGAATCCCTACAGTGTGGAAACAGGCCCTTCGGCCCAACAGGTCCACACTGAATGTCTGAGCATCCCACCCAGACCCACCCTCTATAAACCCACCTAAACTACACATTCCTGAACACTTCGGACAATTTCAGCATGGGCCAATCGACCTAGCCTGCACAGCTTTGGACTGTGGGAGGAAACTGGAGCACCCAGAGGAAACCCACGCAGATTCGGGGAGAACGTGCAAATTCCTGTGATAGGGTTAGTCGCCCGAGGGTGGAATTGAACCCAGGTCCCTGGCGCTGTGAGGTAGCAGTACTAACCACAGTGCCACAGTGCGCCAGTTCCACTCTGGTCTACCCACTCTGACCTTTCGCTGTTTCTCGACGCATGCCCCCCCCTCACCGGGACATGCCAATGTTGCGTTGCAATGATCTACTCTCGCGGTAACCCTTTTGATATCGATCAATGATCTCCCCAAAGCCAATCTATTGGTGGTTCTCAACACTGGATATCTACATTGACCCCAGTAGTGTTTCCTTCATGATTTCCATTCATAATTCCTTCCAAGATATTCAATGTTTCATTGAAAAAACAGGAAGAAGTATCAGAGGAATATGCTCCAGTTCCCTCCCACAGTCCAAAGATGTGCAGGTTAGGGTGGATTGGCCGTGCTAAATTGTCCCGTAGTGCCCAGGGATGTGCAGTTTAGGGTGGATTGGCTGTGCTAAATTGTCCCGTAGTGTCCAGGGATGTGCAGGTTAGGGTGGATCGGCCGTGCTAAATTGTCCCATAGTGCCCAGGGATGTGCTGGTTCGAGTGGGTTAGCCTTGGGAAATGCAGGGATGTGGTTTGTGTGGGATGCTCTTTGGAGGGATTCGATGGGCTGAATGGCCTGCTTCCACACTGTAGGGATTCTTAAGATTTATTCAGTTGAGGTTTCATATGCCAGAAATCGTTGTTCAATTGGTGGGGGTAGGGGAATGGTCATCCTTCTTATTTTTGGAGTTCGACTTAACAATCTTGCGTCTATAATATTTATTTTAGGTCATCAAACTCTAACAGCGTCGATGACAACAATGGCTGAAGGCCCAAATCCCAAAGAAAACCCAAGGTGTTCCATAAGAACAAGAAGAGTTACAGGTAGAGTTTTCCAGATCAGTTACAAATTCTCAGCGGCAGCCTACAGTTCAAGTACTGCTCTCGGAGAGCACAGCTCTCAGCAACAGGAACTAGATTGTGTGCCTGTGTGTTGTTTTTGAATTTAATTCTTTCTTCGGATGTGAACGGAACTGTCGAAGTCAGTATTTGTTGGTCACACCAAACTGCCCTTGAACTGAGTACAGTTACACAGACGCTTCGAAGAACCTCCGGGAGTCAATGTAATGTAGTGTGGAGCTGGAGGAACACAGCAGGCTAGGCAGCATCAGAGGAACAGGAAAGCTGACGTTTCGGGTTGGGACCCTTCCTCATTTCCCGACCCGAAACATCAACTTTCCGTGCTCCTCTGGTGCTGCCTGGCCTGCTGTGTTCCTCCAGCTCCACCCCGTGTTATCTCAGACCCCAGCATCAGCAGTTCTTACTATCTCCGGGAATCAATGTCTTTGTTTTGGTGCAGAAATTGCTGACAAAGCTCAGCAGGTCTGGAAGCATCTGTGGAGAGAAAACAGTATTGACTGAAGAAGGGTCACCGGACCCGAAATGTTAACATTGCTTTCTCTCCAAAGATGCTGCGAGATCCGCTGAGCTTTTCCAGCAGTTTCTGTTTCTGTTTCTGGTTTCCAGCATCCGCAATTCTTTGATTTTTATTTTTGTTTAGGCTTTATTGTGGGTTTGGAGCCACATATTGACTATGACCCAGTTTTGTGCATTTACCGCACCTGAATATAGTTTCATGTTTACCATTACTCACCCTGGCTTTCAATTGTTATTTCTTAACCCCATCCATACGGATCTCACGTCATCTGATCCAAGATCATTTCTTGCGAACCTGCTAATTCCATATTGTACTAACAAAGCCCTGCCACCACCCTTCCCTACTGACCTGCTCTTGTGAAAAGTCACATACCTATCCCCAGGTTGCTGCGAGAGGCAAGAGAAGAAATAGCTGGGGCTGTTAGCAGATGTCTTCACATCATCTTTAATCACAGGCGAAGTTCCAGAGGACTGGAGGTTAGCCAGTGCTATTCCCTTGTTTAAGACAGGAAGCAGGGATTATCCAGGAAATTATAGGCCGTTGAGTCTGAAGTCTGTGGTGGGGAAGCTCTTGGGGAAGATACTGAGGGTCGGGATGTACACACATTTGGAAGAAAATGGACTAGTTAGTGACAAGAAACATGGTTTTGTAACAGGGAAGGTCATGTCTTACTGACCCAATCGAATTTTTCAAAGAGGTGACAAAGATAATTGATGAGGGAAGAGCTGTGGATGTGGTTTATATGGGCTTTAGTAAGGCATTTGATAAAGTCCCACATGACAGGTTGGTACAAAAACTGAAATCACATGGGATTCGGGGTGGGCTGGCTAGATGGATACAAAACTGGCTTGGTCATGGAAGACAGAGGGTAGCAGTGCAAGGTTGTTTGTCAGAGTGGAGACTGGTACCTAGTGGTGTTCCACAGGGATCAGTCTTCGGTCCTCTGTTGTTTGCAGTATATGTGAATGATCTGGAGGAAATGTGGGTGATCTGATTATTAAGTTTGCAGAAGACGTGAAGATTGGTGGAGTTGCTGATAACGCAGACGATTGGGAAAGGATAAAATATAGATTGGCGATTTGGGCAGAAGGGGTCTAATCCAGACAAATGCGAGCTGATGCATTTTGGAGGATCATATTTAGCTGTGAATTATCCTGTTAATGGCACAATCCTTAGGAACATTAACATACAGACGGAGCTGGGCAGGCAGGTCCACAGTTCCCTAAAAGTGACAACACACGTAGCCAAGGTGATTAAGAAGGCATATGGTGTGCTTGCCTTCATCGTTTGGGACATGGAGTACAAGAGTTGGTGAACCATGTTGCAGCTATGTAAAACCCTTGTTAGGCCGCTTTTGGAGTATTGTGTGCAGTTTTGGTCACCACATTATCAGAAGGACGTGGAAGTTTTGGAGAGAGTGCAGAGAAGGTTCACCAGGATGTTGCCCAGTCTTGAGGGCATTGGCTATGAGGAAAGGTTAAAAAGACTAGGATTGTTTTCATTGGAAAGACAGAAGCTGAGGGAAGACCTGATAGAAGTCTACAACATTATAGAGAGGCATAGATAGGGTGGATAGCCAGAGGCTTTTTCCCAGGATTGATTACGAAGGGGCACAGGGTCAAGGTGAGAGGGCAAAAGTTTAAGGGAGATGTGCGAGGAATGTTTTTCACGCAGAGAGTGGTAGGAGCCTGGAATGCGCTGCCAGAAGACACAGCGGAGGCAGGCACATTGGCGAAATTTAAGAGGCATCTGGATGGCTACGTGAAAAGGGGGGGAATAGAGGGATAGGGACTGAATAAGGGCAGAAGGTGTGTTTTTTAGTTTAGTCAGGGCATGATGATCAGTACAGGCTTGGAGGACTGAAGGGCCTGTTCCTGTGCTCTACTTCTCTTTTGTTCTCTTTTTTTGTTCCCTGAATATTTACTTCCAAGCTTCAATCTCATTGTAACCATATGTCTGTAATACCTGGAATATCATATTCATTGACCTCCGCTTATGCTGGTAATTGATTTATTTTGTTCTGAATATTCATGCATTTCAGTAATAAAGAGCCGTTAATTTTGTCTTTTTACCTTTTGTTCCCTCTTCATAACTGATTTGCTACCGTTATTTTACGCTGGTGTACTCTGTTCCTTCCTTTCCCACTCAGGGTCTCAATATCAAAATATTTGCCATACTTTTTTGCAAGCTCACATTCCCCCCTCTAATTCGTTTAAAGACTTGCCGAATCAATTCACTCGGGCACTGGTCCCAGCATGGCTCAGGTGATGCCCATCCCAGTGGACCCCATTATTGGTGCCCCATGAACTGAAACCCATTCCTCCCACTCCAACATTTAAGCCAAACATTTAACTCCTGCACTTTTATTTACCCAATTACCAATTTAAGCAGATCACAATAACAAATCTGAATTAGGTTTGCATAAATGGAAAATTTCTGCCTCAGCAAATGTGCACATTCACTCCAAGCTGGTTTACCTCCTGAAGTATTCAATTGCTATTGTGTTCAATTGCTATTGTATTCACAGAATCATACTGCAATGTCAGAGATTTCCTGGAAGAGTGCAATGATTACCAACTGCTACAGCTGACAAAATTCTACCAGGACAGACTCGAGCAGGCAGTGGAAGGAGGGGTGGATGGAATCTGCTCCTTGTTGACGTATGAGAATCATTTCAATGGCCAAGAACATAAGGTAAGCAGGGTACAATGAAAGAGAACGTGAACTTTGTTGAAAAGTGGGAAATGTGCCACAATCCTGCCCCCTCGAAAACAAAAGCGTGGAGGGCAAAATTTCAAACCTATCAAAAAATTCACACAGAAAACGCTGGAGAAACTCAACAGCTCCTAGCAGCAACTGTGGAGCCCAAAATAGAGTTAATGCTTCGTGCCCACTCGTATCAGACTCAAAGCATTAAATCAGTTTGTCTCTCCGCAGATTCTGCCAAACCTGATGAGCTTCTTCAGCAATTTCTGTTTTGCGTTCAGCCTCCCAGCATCTGCAGTATTTTGTTGGAGAGGGAGCTAAATGGTTGGCAACTAAAACTATCATGACACCCACACTAGCTGAAAACGCCCGATCTCGGAAGCTGAACAAACTCAGGCCTGGTTCGTACTGGGATGGGAGACCGCCTGGGAATACCAGGTGCGGTAGGCTTATATCTGGCTGGCACAGATGAGGAAGGACCTGTTTCCATGCTGTACACCTCTATGACTCTATGACCAGTGTCAACTCCTCAGCTGATCAGAGTCAACGTGCCAACCAATACTTGAGCAATGAAAACAGTGATCCAGTTAGTCCTCCAGTTCAGTAAAACGATCCAGCACTTCACAATACACATCAGGTTCTGCAATACCATCAGCATTTTATGCTTCAGTGAGTTTTCTAGTTAGCACAGATCAGGGATCGTTGCTTTCTGTACTTATTTTAATCTGCAGTACAGATCATCTTATGATAGAGATCCTTCAGTTGTCTATATACAGAAACATGTAGTCACATAAAAGGATAGATCATCTTCTCCTCACACTTAGTATGTTTGTTTCTCTGACCTTCATATATTAATTTTATTCTTTAAAGAAAATCACGATGCTTGTAGAGAAGGGGGACAGGACAGAAGCGTCGAAAATTCTTCTGAAGATGGTGATGGGGAAAGGATCTGGAGCCCAAAGGGTGATGTGGAAATCCTTCATGAAAATGCACCAAGGAGTACCAAAGCTGGACAAAATACTAAAGGAAATCGAAGAAATTGGTACAGTGACATTGCAGTGGCTTCATTTCCATACTTACTGTTATAACATTAATTGTAACTGATAACGTGCCATGCAATTAATCTTGACAGATTTTGATGCATTTGAAAAATTAAACATTGCACAAAGTCCTCCCGGAGTCCCGGAAGAATTGAAAGGTAAGAGATTGAAAGTTCAAAGGCATTTTTTACTCAAAGCCTTGAGCCTATCCTTTGTTTTATGATGTAGAAGATGCCTATTGTGCATATTCAAAGGCCTGGAGCAATATAAACAGCTCTGTTATCGAACCAAGCACTGCACGCAGATTGAAATCATAGTGCACGCTGAGATTTTGAGATTTATTGTAAGTTTGCAGATTTGTTATTACTTCAGCTTCAGCTGAGAATCCCGCAACACTTTGCAATCGAATACATACTTGTCAGCGTTCTTGTGTAGTGATTGTAACAGGGTCAGCCAGATGGACCTCATAGAACATGGGTTCCCTGGATGGGGCTGGTGACTGGTCCAATCAGGGAGCCCAGGCTGACAGATATAAACAAGAGTGCCACACATCCTGTTCACTCTCAGAGCGGCTCTGAGGGAGCTTAATCAGTGTCAAGAGCATATCATGTGTAAATAAAGGGTGACTTGGTAACAGGATACCAGGCTCTGTGGAGTTATTTCAGTGGCAACGAGAGTTAAGCATGCTCCTGAAGAAATTCACTCACAACAGCCTTCTTTCAGTTGGGGTAAATATTTCAGACATCATGCTGTTATTTGGGAAGCTTGACTCATTTGACCCTGCTGTCTAAGATTGGGTCTTATGTGAACAGAATGCATATTTTTTTACTGGGCAAATGATACTGGGGCAGATGAAAAACAACAAGGAATTTTCCTGACAGCTTGTGGACCCGCAGCTTTTTCGGCTATTAGGAGCCTAACTTTCCCTGAGGCACCAGACACTAAAAGAATTGATGGATTTAGTTAAGGGATGTTCTGACCACAAGCCTCCTCTAATTCTGAGACACTGTTGGTTTTACTTGGCAATTTCTGAACCATATTAGGACTTTTGACTAGGTTACGACAACTGGTAGAGGCATGTAGAATCACAGAATCCCCACAGTGTGGAAGCAGGCCATTCAGTCCATTAAGTCTGTAGGAAGGATGTTGTCAAACTTGAAAGGGTTCAGAAAAGATTTGTAAGGATATTGCCAGGGTTGGAAGTTTTGAGCTATAGGGAAAGGCTGGGGCTATTTTCCCTGGAGTGTCGGAGACTGAGAGGTGACATTATAGAGGTTTATAAAATAATGAGGGGCATGGATAGGGTGGATAGACAAGGTCTTTTCCCTGGGGTAGGGGTGTCCAAAACTAGAGGGCGTAGTTTAGCATGAGAGATGAAAGATTTAAAAGGGACCTAAGGGGTAACTTTTTCACACAGAGGGTGGTACGTGTATGGAATGAGCTGCCAGAGAAAGTGGTGGAGGGGGGTACAGTTACAACATTTAAAAGGCATCTGGATTGGTATGTGAATAGGAAGGGTTTGGAGGGATATGGGCCAAATGGGACTAGATTAATTTAGGATATATGATCAGCACAGATGAGTTGGACCAAAGGATCTGTTTCTGTGCTGTACCTCTCTATGACTAACCCTCTGAAGAGCATCCCAGCCAGACCAACTCCCCTACCCTATTCCTGTAAGCCCACATTTCCCAGGGCTAATCCATCTAGCCTACACATCCCTGGACATACATGGTCAACCTACCTAACCTGCACATCTTTGTACTGTGGGGCACCCAGAGGAAACCCATGCAGACATGAGGAGAATTTGCAAACTGCACACAGACAGTGACCTGAGAGTGAAATTGAACCTGGGTCTCTGGTGCTGTGAGGCAGCAGTGCTAACCCCTGAGCCACCGTGCTGCCCAATGAGGGCCTGATTACAAAACACCTAATTAATGGACAACTTTTCAATCTAAATCTGGAGCTATATGGGAGGATTTAAACTAGCAAAGGGGAAAGCAGTGGGGCCCAGAGAGATAGTGAGAAAAGAAATCAGTGTGAGGCTGGTGCAGTTGGGAAAAGGCGCAAGTCAAACAGTCAAGGTAGGGAAGAATAAAGTAGGACGAGATCGGGCTGATAAATTAAACGACATTTATTTTAATGCAGGAGGCTAACAGGTAAGGCAGATGAACTCGGGCATGGTTGGGAACATGGGACTGGGATATCATAGTTATTACAGAGATATGGCTCGGGGATGGAAAGGAGTGGTAGCTTAATGTTCCAGGGTATAGATGCTCCAGGAAGGATAGAAAAGGAAGCAAGAGAGGAGGGGCAGTGGTGCTTCTGATTAGCGATAACATTACGGCTGTATTTAGGGAGGATATTCCTGAGATGTTGTGAAACTTGAAAGGGTTTGGAAAAGATTTACAAGGATGTTGCCAGGGTTGGAGGGTTTGAGCTACAGGGAGAGGCTGTATAGGCTGGGGCTATTTTCCCGGGAGCATCGGAGGCTGAAGGATGACCTTATGGAGGTTTATAAAATCATCAGGGGCGTAAATAAGGTCTTTTCCCAGGGGTGGAGGAATCCAAAACTAGAGGGGCATAGGTTTAAGGGGAGAGGGGGAAAGATTTAAAAGGGACTTGAGGGGCAACTTTTTCACACAGAGGGTGGTGCGTGTATGGAACGAGCTGCCAGAGGAAGGGGTGGAGGCTGGTACAATTACAACATTTAAAAGGCATCTGGATGGGTACATGAATAGGAGGGATTTAGAGGGATATGGGCCAAATGCTGGCAAATGGGACTAGATTAATCTAGGATATCTGGACAAGTTAGACCAAAGGGCCTGCTTCCATGCTGTACATCTCTATGACTCTAAATGGGATTAAGAAGCTCAAATACCTAGACACAAAAATATACTGGTCATTCTAAATATCAGTGTAGATCACTAAACTCAGGAAAGAGAAAACAAGCAGTGAAACATGTTTCTGGTGGGATAGAACTGAAACAGGGAGATCTTAGATGAAGTCATCATAATTCTAGTGGACCATAGACTTGCTCCCTCATTCGAGAGAACTGGTGGTGAGGGGAAGAGTTTGAGAAAATGGCTCCTTCATAGTAACCTCAGCTGGTGCAGAAATTGAACTTGTACTGTTGGCAGCCCCCAGCGTTGTAAACCAGCTATCCAGCCAACTGAGCAAACTGACCCCTCGGCTAGGCAGTTGGTTTGCAAAGAGTGCGTTCAATTCCCACATTGGCTGGGCTTACTGTGAAGGATTCTGTTTCTCAAGGTCTCTCTCTCTCCCATCGCCTGAGGGATGGTGTCCCTCAGGTTAAACCGCCACCAGTTGTCTCTCTCTCTCTCTCTCTCTAATGTGTCAGCCCCTCCTAAATAAATATTTATGGTGGTTAAAGACTGTAGTTAGAGCATTCTAGTCACTGTATTCAGTAAAGGTTCTAGACACACTGGAGAAAAGAAAGAAAATAATTAGCAAGGTCAGTGCAGCAAATCAGATTAAATTTCAGGAGAGGATGAACAGGTTTCCATCATTGTTAAAAAGAAAAAAACAGGAAGGCTGATAGATATTTTAAAATTCACCTTTTCAAGGGCAACTATGCAATCGGTAGTCAGCCAGCGACAACTGCAAGTACATAAAGAGGTAAGTTTAAAAAATTATGAAAGGACTTGTCAAAGTGCACACCAATGCAGGCTTCCTGCAAAACAGACGAACAAACATAGAGCTGATTTATAAAATAATCACCATGAAATCTGCTAAGGAATTTGGAAGAAGCTTATTTATCCAGAGAGTGATGATCATAGGGAATTTAGAACTGAAGACACAATCAAGACTTTAATGACAAAGTGGATGAGGAGGAAGGGGACAGATAGGATATACTGTTGGAGTTAAATATGGAGTTGGGATTGAATGCTGGCCTGGACTGAAAATGGTGTGCTGTCTCAGATTCTCCGCACTTTATTCAGTTGGCTGGATAGCTGGTTTACAAGAGGTGTAGAGGGATTGTTAAATTAGTTTATTTTTTATTAAGTATTCAAATGATGTGAATAGGCGAAACATCTCCTTTTGAAAAGGAAGTGGAATTAGTTAAGCTAGTGCATCATGGATGCTTAATTCTGCATTGATCATTTTGCATCATCATCGAATTAATTTTGTGCCAAAGGGCAAGTTTGGCAGGAGTTGGGAACCCTGAATGACTAGAGACATTGAGGCTTTGACCAGAAAAAGGAAGGAGGCATGTCTCAGGTACAGGCAGCTGGGATCAAGGGAATCCCTGGAGATATATAGGGAATACAGGGGTTTACTGAAGAAGGAAATCAAGAGGGGGAAAAGGGGGCTTGAGACAGCTTTGGCTGAGAAGATTAGTGTGAATCCGAAGAGATTCTTTAAGGAAAAAGAATAACTAAAAAGAGAATAGAACCTCTCAAGGACCAAAGTAGTCATGCATGTGTGGAACAGCAGGAGATGGGCAAGGTCCTCAGTGAATATTTTTCCTCTGTTTATGCCATGGAGAAAGGCATGAAGACTTGGGAACTTGGGGAAGTTAGGAGCGATATCTTGGGGACAGTCTACATCACAGTAGAGGAGGTGTTGGAAGTATTAGAATGCATGAAGGTGGATAAATCTCCTGGTCCTAACCAGATATATCCAAGAATCCTGCAAAAGGCCAGAGAAGAAATTGTGGGAGCTGTAGTTGATATATTTGCATCATCATTAACCTCGGGTGAGGTCCAGGAAGACTGGAGGGTAGCGAATGTTGTGCCCTTATTCAAGGAGGACTGCAAAGAAAAATGTGGGAATTATAGACCAGTAAGCTTAACATCTGTCAGTTACTTGAGAAGATTCTGAGGGATAAGATATACATGCATTTGGAAAGACAGGGTTTGATTAGGAGTAGTCAGCATGGCTTTGCGCATGGGAGATCATGCCTCACAAATTTGTGGGAGTTCTTAGATGAAGTGGCCAGGAAGGTTTATGATGGCAGGGCAGTAGATGTAGTCTATATGGATTTCAGTAAGGCCTTTGATAAGGTTCCACATGGTAGGCTGTTCTGGAAGGTTAGATCACATGGAATCCAGGGAGAGCTGGCAAATTGGATGCACAATTGGCTTGATTGTAGGAAGTGGAGAGTAATAGTGGAAGGATGCTTGTTGGACTGGAGGCCTGTGACTAGTGGTGTGCTTCAGGGGTCAGTGCTGGACCCATTGCTGTTTGTTATCTATATCAATGATTTGGATGAGAATGTAAACGGCATGGTTAGTAAGTTTGCGGATGACACTAAAACAGACGGTATTGTGGACAGTGAGGAAAGTTATCAGAAATTGCAGCAGGATCTCGATCAGCTGGGGAAGTGGGCTGAGAAATGCCAAATGGAGTTTAATGTAGTTAAGCGTGAGGTGTTGCATTTTGGAAAGTCAAATTAAAATAAGAGTTTTATGGTGAATGGTAGGGCCTTCGGGAGTGTAATGGAACAGAGGGACTTTGGAGTTCAGGTGCACGGTTCTCTGAAAGTGGAGTCACAGGTAGACAGAGCAGTGAAGAAGACTTTTGGCACACTGGCCTTGATCAGTCAGGGTATTGTGTATAGCAGTTGGGAAGTTATATTGCAGTTATACAGGACATTGGTGAGGCTGCACTTGGAGTATTGTGTTCAGTTTTGGTCACTTTATTGTAGGAAGGATGCTGTTAAACTGGAAAGAGTGCAGAAGAAATTTACAAGGATGTTGCCAGGATTAAGGGAATGAGTTATAGGGAGAGGTTGGACAAGCTGGGACTCTTTTCTTTCGAGCATAGGAGACTGAGGGGTGTCGTATAGAAGTATATAAGATCATGAGAGGCATGGATAGGGTGAATGCACTCAGTCTTTTTCCCAGGGTTGGGGAATCGAGGACTAGAGGGCATCAGTTTTAGGTAATAGGGGAAAGAATACATGGGAACCTGAGGGGCAACTTTTTTACACAGAGGGTGGTACACATAGGGAATAAGCTGCCAGCGGAAGTGGTTGAGGTGGGTGCATAACAACAGTTAAAAGGCACTTGGACGAATACATGGATAGGAAGGGTTTAGACGGATATGGGCCAAGTGCAGGGAAATAGGGTCAACGTAGATGGACACTTTGGTCAGCACGGACCCCAGTTTGGGCCGAAAAGGGCCTGTCTCTGTGCTGTAGGACTCTGGAAGTCTATGACTCCCCAACCAAATTTTGCTTGTTAATGTCCCACAATCACCTCCTTCGGGAATATGGATTTAGTCTTTACAGAACATCACTGGATTAAAATGTCAAATTTATAAGTCGTTTCTCTAATTCGTAATCAAAACTGAAAAGCATTTTGCCTTTTTTTTCTCTGTTCCATTCTAAGACATTCAACAGAAACACAAAGAAACGCTCTGGGAACAAACCGAAACACTGAGCGTGAACACTATCCTAATTAAGACAAAGTTTAAGATTTTTCGATTGGTTGATCGATACACTGAACTGACCATCATTTCCACTGTTCGAGATTGGAAAGTGGTAGAACATGAGCTGACGGCGAGAGGCGAAGACCACGAAAAATGGAGAGAGAAACACCTCCGAGGAGATCTGGAAAAAATCCAAATTGAGCAATTGTTTCGAAGCAATATTTCCCAGTCTGGGACCCTGCTCCACAAAATGGAACATTCCTTTAGGCGGTCGAGTTCTGGGATTTCAGTATCGGTGAGCGGGGTCCCGGGGATTGGGAAAACGACAATGGTACAAAAGATGGTCCATGATTGGGCCACTGGGAGAATATACCCACAGTTTAAATTTGTTTTCAGTTTTAAATTCCGGGATTTGAACAAAATTAACTGCAGAACAAACCTGAGGGATCTGGTATTGAATCAGTATCCATACTTTGGGAATGTTCTGGGAGAGGTCTGGAAGTATCCACAGGGTTTGCTGTTCATATTTGATGGTCTGGACGAATTTACGGGCAGCATCAGTTTTGAAGATGATCAGAGAAACGCAGGACCACAGCCCACATGCACAGATCCCCAGTCCCCCTGTGAAGTGTCTGACATTGTGTACAGCTTAATCCAGCACAAGCTGCTCCCAGGATGTTCAGTGTTAGTGACCAGCCGTCCCACTGCATTCCATTTATTGGAAAAGGCTGAGATCAGCGTCTGGGCTGAAATCCTGGGATTTGTTGGTGCCGAACGGAAGGAATATTTCAACAGGTTTTTTGAGGATCAGACGGTGGCAGCAGCTGTTTTCAAGCACGTGGAGGAGAACAACATCCTGTACACCATGTGCTACAACCCTTCGTACTGCTGGATCCTTGGGCTGTCGCTGGGTCCGTTCTTCACACAAAAAGACAGGAGACAGCAGCAAGTTCCCAAGACCATCACCCAGCTCTATTCCTACTATATTTACAACATTCTGAAAAATCATGGCCGAGAGATTGAAGACCCACGCAACGTGTTTCTGAAGCTTGGTCAGATGGCGTTCGCAGGAGTCTGTGAGAAAAAGATTGTGTTTAGGAATGGAGATTTGATCCAGTACAACCTGCGACCCTCCCAGTTCCTGTCTGGGTTCCTGATGGAAGTTCTGGAAGGTGACGTTTCTGCCCAGAGCATAGTCTACACATTCCCGCACCTCACGATCCAAGAGTTTGTAGCTGCGGTGGCGCAATTCCTGACTCCGGATCCTGGGGACATTGGGAAACGCCTCAGTGATGCCCACAGTGACGATGATGGGAGATTTGAGATATTTCTCCGTTTTGTGATTGGCCTCTCCTCTCCGCAGTCGTCTTGGCCCCTGGAGGAGTTTCTGGGTCCGTTTTCACATCAAGCGACGTGCGAAACGATCGACTGGGTGAAGGAGAATTTTGCGGCCCACGTTGGAAACACAGAGAGTAAAATCGGTAAAAGGAACCTCCTGAACGCATTGCATTACTTGTTCGAGTCTCAGAACTCTGCCCTGGCTCGTTCCATGGTGTGTTCAGTAAAAACGCTTCGATTCGGAGATTCAAACCCATACAATGCCCTGCGATTGACTCCCATTGACTGCGCAGTTATGCCTCCAGTTGTTGGATGGTGTGAGACAATAGATCATCTCAATTTGCAAAACTGCCACATGCAGCACGAAGGACTGCAGCAGCTGGTGCCCCTACTATACAAGTGCCAGCATTTGAGGTAATGGTTCATTTTATTTTTCTGTGCTTTCAGTTCTGTAGTTAGACTGTGACTTCGTGTCGTTCACATTTCATTGTAAAGGCAACAGGTCCTTGCAGTACAAATAATGTGAGATAAAGTGATTCTTAAAGTAGCATGCAGACAATATACCAACTGAGTACATCCTTCTACAAATATATCAAGCGGGCAAAGATCAACAAAGACAAAAGTAGGCCCTTTTACAATCAGAAGTGAGGGAAATTACAATGGGGAGCAAAGAAATGGCAGAAGACTTGAGCGCACATTTTGATGCTGTCTTCTAAAATTCTGTAGACCCTGATCAATTCATATAGGGTTGGAGATTAGCCAATGGAGCACCATGATTTAAAAAGGACAAAGGGAAAATAGAACAGAATTACAGATTGGTTAGCCTAACATCAGCTGTGGCAAAAATGCCAGAACCTATTATGAAATGCGTGACAAGAACATAAATGAGATTAGATAAAGTTGGCATGGGTCGTGGATTCCTAAGGGGCTTGTAAAGGTAAATGCTGAAAGGATGCTCCCCCTTATGGGAGAGTCTAGGCCCAGAGGACACAGTCCCTGAGTAAAGGGGTGCCAATTTAAGACTTAGATGAGGAGGAGTTTAATCTCTTTGAGATTTGAAAGTCTTTGGAACGCACTGCTACAGAGTGCAGAATCCTTGTATATATTTAAGGCTGAGATTGATAGATGCTTGATCAGTTGGGGAATCCAGGATTATGGGGAAAATGGAACACAGCGGTCATCCAATAAGAAATATTGGATCAGCCATGGTCCTATTGAGTGGCAGAGGAGCCACCTCAAGGAGCTGAATTGTATTTCTTTGGTCTTATGGGTTTATGAAAGAGAAAACATGCTTAACTGATCTAACAGAGTTATTTCTATGTACCTAGTAGAATAGATAAGGGAGATACCGTCGATGTGGCATATTTGGAATTCAAGAAGATGTTTTAGAAAATCCAACATAATAGACTGGTGGAAGAATTTAATGCACATGGGGTTGGGGGCAATATACTGGCATGGATTGAGAATTAGTTAACAGGCTGGAAACAGAGAAGAAAATAAATGGTTCTTTTTCCAGATGGCATTCAGTGACTAGCGGTGTACTGCAGTGATCAATGCTTGGGTCCCAGCTATTCATGATATATATGATTTGCATGAGGGAACCAAATGCAATATTTCCAAGGTTTCTATTTCACAAAACTTGGTGGAATCACGAGGAGTGAGGAATGTGCAAGAGGCTTCAGGGCGATCTAGACAAGGTGAGTATGTGGGCAAACACAAGATAGAAGCAGTGTAACATCGGTAGATATGAAGTTATACAGTTTGGCGCGAAAAACAGAAAGAAAGAGTATTATTTGAATGGGGATATATCGTGGATATACAAAGGGATTGATTGTCCTTGTCATCAATGAAGTAAAAAGGCATGCTCTGGAAGCATTAAGGAAGACAAATGTCACGTTGGCCTTACTTGCAAGAGGATTTGGGACTGGTAGTAAGGAGGTCTTACTGCAGTTCTCCAGAGCCTTTATATGACTGCACCTGGACACTGAGTGCATTTCCAGTTCCCTTTTGAAGGGGATAAATTTGCCATAGAGGCAGTTCAGCCTGCTTGGTAGTACTTCTGAATGAGGAGAGATTGATTCAACTGGATCTGTAGTCACTAGAGTTTAGAGTATTGTGAGGGGGGATATGATTTAAATGCATAATGTTCGAACAGAGCTGGAGGGATTGTTTGCTGGTTGGGGATTCTAGAATTAACGATCACACTGTCAGGAAACACGATAGGCCACTTTTAACTAACAGTGGTGAAAAGGCGTGCTGGACACTGGTATAGACAAACAGACTTAACTGTTACAATAATTTGTCATGCGAACCATGAGCGATACTCAGACCTCTAGTGAAATCGCACTGCTCAAATCTTCTAGTAAATGAACAGAATCACGGTTAGCCCAATGGACACTTACACTGATACATTCAGAGAATTGTTCCCTATTTCGGTTCGGAAATAAATTATTTTGAATGATATACTTCTTAAGAATGTTGTCAGTGCTCTCAATATATGTCGTTATTTTGGAGGTGAGGATCAAATGTAATATTTCCAATTTTACAAAGCTAGACAGCAATGTGCATGGCATGGACAGTGAAAAGTGGTTCCAGGAGGATTTAAGTAGACTTGCTGAATGGCAAAACATGGCAAATGGCATGTAACATGGAAAATGTGAGGTTATCCACTTTGCTAAGAGATGCAACTATTTCTCAAATGGTTAAGTGTTAATATACAAAGGAATATAGATTTCCCTGGCAATAGGTTTCTGAAAGCTAACAAAGTCACTACTAGATATAACAAGGTGTAGAGCTGGATGAACACAGCAGACCAAGCAGCATCAGAGGAGTAGGAAAGCTGACGTTTCGGGTCTAGACCCTTCTTCAGAAAACGAAGCGTCTTTTCTGAAGAAGGGTCTAGACCCGAAACGTCAGCTTTTCTGCTCTTCTGATGCTGCTTGGCCTGCTGTGTTCATCTAGTTCTATTCCTTGTTATATCAGATTCTCCAGCATCGGCAGTTCCTACTATCTCTGTAACAAAGTCACTACTAGGCTGGCTGGTAATAAAAAATTAGTGCTTCATTCTAATTTACAGAGAGTGGAATGGTCCAGAGGGGTGATGGTGAGTGAGAGGATTTTGTAGCTGGTAAACTCGATGTGTGGAAATTGATGTTTTTTTTTCTGGACCCAAAGGGGCAGCAGGATGTTGAGGGGGAGAAAAGTAGTTTAGAAACGATAACTACTGGTGGAGTACTAGAAGCATTGGTTTGGGAGTAGACAGCAAATCCAACCACACAAGAGCAGAGATAGTATGAAGACATGGAGTCAGCTGGAGTCAGAGATAATACAGTGTGGAGCTGGAGGAACACAGCAGGCCAGGCAGCATCAGAGGAGCAGGAAAGCTGACGTTTCGGGTCGGGACCCTTCTTCAGAAATGGGGGAGGGGGAAGGGAGCTCTGAAATAAGTAGAGGAGGGGTGGGACTGGGGAAGGTTGGTGGGACGGTGATTAGGTGAATGTAGGGAGGCAGCGGTGGGGATTGGTCCGTGAGGGGGGAGGAGCGGATAGGTGGGAGAGAAGACGGACAGGTCAAGGAGGTGGGGATGA